TATTCAAGTGGGCGGGATTTTGCATAAGGCTTCTCTCGAGGCCTTTGTATTTGTAGCCTTCACATTCCGCAACATTCGCCGCATATCCTCAACAAACAAAACAATACACCGAGTTTCTGTGCCTTCTCGTGGGCTCGTGGGCCACAGATAGCTTTCTACGCCACCCTCTGGCGCCTCTCTCTTGTCCGAACCTCCGAAATGCGAACTCAAGCTGAAGATGACAAAAATAGTGCACGTCAGTCAGTTTACACGGGCAACGCAAGATTTGAACTAAACAAAAGCAGCGAACGTCTTCTGGAACGGACGGCCTCATTCCATCAGTCATGGATAAGAAGCTTGCTCTCGTCCTTGCTGCCTCCCTCGTAGTTGCTGCAAGGGGTGAGCACTCCTGTTGAAGACCAAGCCAATCATCAAGAATCGCCACTCGTGCGATTCACTCCTTTCGCCTGCTTGCTGTGTGTCTGCAGCCGACCCCCCTGCTTGCGGGAGGGCCCTTCAGGATTGTTCGGAGACTAAATGCTGCGAAGACTACGGATACACGTATGTATCTGTGTAGATACTTGTCTGCCAGTCATGTCTCTCTGTCTTTCTGTCATGTTCGCTTCTTTGTCTGCGTAGCTGCAAGGAGAAAGACGCTGTAAGCACGTCGTAGAAAACCGCAGTAGCCCTTTCCTGACTCTTTACGTCGCCTTTGCACAGTTTTTTTCCCAGTGCCGTCCCATACTCGAGTCATGCCCCCCCGGCAGTGCCAACTGGACGTGTGTTGACAAAGAGCAGACCCTCTCCGGCCCCAAGCTGCACACAGTCGAATTCGCACTCCTCTACGATGAGCAGTTCCCGGACAAAAAGGGAGACATCTATCTGAAGACGCCGTTGGTGCGCAGAGGAGGGTTGTATGGCAACTGACCCGTTTCAATTTGTTGCTGAGGATGGATTGCTGTGTGTATGTTTCGTGCAGTACCAGAGCCGTCATCAGATCATGTACCAGCAGAATGAGGTCAACGACTTCACCTTCCTGGCAACAGCCTCGCAAGACACTACATCCGTCCTTTTCGGTCAGAGAAACGCCCCACCTGACAACGCCCCTCATACGTCTTGCTGATTGTCAACTCTGATCAGAGTTGCTTGACTGGCACCGTATGACCATCATGTCAGCTGATGGCCGCTCCCCCAATGGCGACCAGAGTCGCCCCTACTCGGCGTTTGGGAAGACTGTCACCTCCCTTGCGGACGAGGAGCCCAAGGCCAAGTACATGGGCGCACCCGACTGGGTCAAGGAGCTCGATGGATGCGGCGGCGGATACAGACTGAGGGGAACCCCATACACTGCCCTGGGCGAGCCGGGAGTTCCCAAATACCTGTCGGGTGAGGGGCCTTCGTACATGGCTGTGAGTGTCATGTAATTGTCTTTGTGCCGAGTCGTTTCAGTCAAGTTCCTCCCGGACTGTGGATGCATCGACTACGGTGAGAAGACAATGCCCTCACGCAAACAGGGGACCTTGACACACCATCATTCCCTGTTACTCAGAGCCCCTGCTGAGAGGCCTCGAGTTGGTTGTGCTCGACGATGACGGCCGGCCAGTTGCGCCGCCCACCGGCGCCATGCGTCAGCTATTTGGCGCAAGCATCGTTCCTGACGCGGACAAGACCAGTCTCCGCAAGATGCAGATGACCAACGCGTACGGTGAGGAGCTCACCGGTATCGCCAGCACCATGCTCATGCACGGATTCACATATGTCCTCGACGCCAACAAGGTCGTTTATGACCGACGCCGCTCACCATCACCTTCCATGTGGATTGTGGATGTTGCGTGTAGGCATGGCCGGGCACGAAATTCACATTCAAGGCGTCTGAGTGCAGGACGCTGACTGTGGACACTATCTCGAAGGTGGAGTGGAGCATCTTGGACAGGCACCGCAACGTCATCCAGACCGAAAGTGTCGGCAACACCGGATTTGACGAATCATCGTACGACCAGACACTATCCTGTGTAACGCAGAGAGCATCCCATTACAGTGTCTTGCGCATGTTCCGTACAGTCCGTATACGTTGTATGGCGACGACAACGGCGAGAAATACACGCCCATCCCCGACTGGATGATCAACAGCGGTGGCACCTTCTTCATTCGGGCACTTCCATGGGACACCCAGGGCAAAGCCGGGCCCACGGACACCGCACAGGACATCAAAAGTAACAAAACCTGAAGCCTCCATCAAATGGCCATGCATGCATGCATGCATCAGAGACGCTTTGATGTGGAAATGCATCGACGACTGCCTTTGTCTGATATGTGTATCTTCTTTAGTATACATCGTTGCGCCGGGCGCTGCTCCGCCCCCGACGGTGAAGCATCATCGACCTGAGGTGATCCACACAGCTGAAGAAGTCGGCGGTGGCAGCAATTGATTAGCACTGCATGGAAAAGACTGTGGACCAAGGAATGAATTGCGACCCGCCGGCCAGTTTCCGTGATCTCGCAGAAGTGGACGGTGTTGAGGAAACGATGTGTCGGCTCGCAGATGGATAACCTCGGCTATAGCCTAATTGGTTTCTCAACAGACGGAAGCGCGCTGAGCGCTGTGTCTCCCTCCCTCGCTTCCTCATTCTCCTTTTTCTTTTCTCAAAAGTACCTGGGCCGCCATCCTACCCAAATTGCACTCATCTTCCTGCTTGTCATCTTTCTGCCTCGAACACCTACACGTCTGCCATTTAACGGCCCCCTCCTATTCAAGTGGGCGGGATTTTGCATAAGGCTTCTCTCGAGGCCTTTGTATTTGTAGCCTTCACATTCCGCAACATTCGCCGCATATCCTCAACAAACAAAACAATACACCGAGTTTCTGTGCCTTCTCGTGGGCTCGTGGGCCACAGATAGCTTTCTACGCCACCCTCTGGCGCCTCTCTCTTGTCCGAACCTCCGAAATGCGAACTCAAGCTGAAGATGACAAAAATAGTGCACGTCAGTCAGTTTACACGGGCAACGCAAGATTTGAACTAAACAAAAGCAGCGAACGTCTTCTGGAACGGACGGCCTCATTCCATCAGTCATGGATAAGAAGCTTGCTCTCGTCCTTGCTGCCTCCCTCGTAGTTGCTGCAAGGGGTGAGCACTCCTGTTGAAGACCAAGCCAATCATCAAGAATCGCCACTCGTGCGATTCACTCCTTTCGCCTGCTTGCTGTGTGTCTGCAGCCGACCCCCCTGCTTGCGGGAGGGCCCTTCAGGATTGTTCGGAGACTAAATGCTGCGAAGACTACGGATACACGTATGTATCTGTGTAGATAC